CGGTCATGAACTTTCTGAATAAATTTTATCCTCAAACGGGTGATTGCGAGAAGGATACAACGAAGTGTACATTCGCGAACAGCTACGAAGATATGATCAAGTTGTTCGGGAATGTGAAATACGATGAAAGTACTGACAATGGTTAGTGACAATCGAGGCACCCCCTCAGATGACGATTCTTAGCTACAAAGCCATTGTTAACATATGGTACTTTAAAAACCAGAGCAATCGTGATTAGTTGAATTCGATTATGTTGTTCATAAGCCTTCATTCAAACGAATTTGAACAAAAAATTCTGAACAAGCTCTGAGAGTTTAATTCATTAATAATTCACCTGATCTCAGCCGACTTACTAAAATTTTTAAAATTTCTTAAAGACCTACTAAAATTTTCTTTATTCGCAAACTTTTTTGCAGTTCATCTAGTGCTAATTTACGTGATTTCAGCCGCGTATCGTGGATGGATGTGGTTGTGCTGCAATGAAATTGGATTTCTGCAAACAACTGACGAAGGCAGGAATGTATTCGGTGAAATGGTTCCATTGAAGTGAGCTCTGAATCCTTCATCTTATGTTTATGCGAATGAACCGCTGAACTCAATTTTATCATTTCGCCATTCTCACATTCGAAAATCCAAACTTAAGCCGTTTGACCTAAAAACTGCCAAAGCCGTATAGTCAATATTTTCGAAGTTAATTTCAGCAAATTTGAAATACTGTTAAACTTCTCCTGACTCTTGCTCAAAGCAATAACACCTAGTCATCATGGATTAGACCTGTCAATCTTTTTTAAATCAGTTCAGTCAATCCGTTAAAGCGATCAATGGAAAATTTGATTTAATATAGAACAATGCTCTGAAATTGTTTGGTTCATTTGATTCAGTGTACAGTCGTGATTTCTTTTCAGCTTGTATATCGATATGTGCACAGATCTGTTCGGTCCGACTGTTAATGTGAAAACGATAACGAAACGGAATGCAGCCGCACAAAAATATTACGGAGGTGCTCAGAACTACAAGGCTGGTTATCTATTGCTATGATGCTGTTACCCAACCTTATGGTGGCCATTCACCAACGCCTCAACATCATCATTTAACGAGTGATCAAAAACATTTTCAGGCAACCAACGTTATCCTTCCCAATGGTTCGCTAGATCCTTGGCACGCACTTGGAACATATGTAGAGGATAAAAAAAATCATCAGATACCACTTCTGATTCAGGGTGAGATCATTTCGGATATTTCAAAGTCGTTAGTACGGAAAATTGAAGCCTAAACTCAAAAACAACTAGCAAAGAATCTATGAGAAGCATTCCGATGGTGGAAATTTCAGAAGCAGCATTGTTTTTAGGCTTGCATAATTTATATCGGCTAAACATGATGAAAAAAACTCGTAATCAAATGTTTCATACTGTTTAGTGTACCAGTATATTCATTAAAAAATTGTTTTTATTGCAGACTGCTATGTACAATTTACTGGATTCGATTAATTTTCCAGTAAATTCATCTTGTAGAGTTTAATCGATTTTAATCTAATCTATTCTCAGTTTATGAGAAATTTCCAGTCTGCTCTTGCGTCTCTAAGCGTTCATCAACAATACTGACTGTCACGAATGTGTGCATTNGAAGATCGAAGATCAGATCAGATACTACCTTTCTCCAAGTACTGTAATTTCCAATCCACTTTTACAATAATTGAGAGAGGGAGAAACGTCCGAGTATCTTCAAAGTCTAGGTTTTAATCGGGTTCGAACGTGCTAATGATTGTCGAGAAAGATGAGCACAGTTGTTTCCATCCCGAAATCTGATTCCAGTTTTAATGATTTTGACTTGTTGTATAAGTCAACAATTACAGCAACGTTGTTCATTATTCAAAATCTGCAAATCGCCTCTCACATAATTCGAATTTAGTTGGCTAAAGCAGTCATCTTTACCATACTCATGAGAACCTCTATAATCATTTGAAGCACTCAGACTATATATCTTTTCATCAAACTTATGTT